AGTGACTTCAGTACTGAGTTAAAAGCGTGTCAGGGGGCCATACTCTTGGAGTTTCTCCAGTCTCTGTCAGACCATTAAGTATGGTCTTTTTTGTGAGTTAGAATTTTGTTCTGCATTTATCTCCAGCTCTCTCCGAGACCCACTGTTGTGATCCCTGTCAGAGCAGTTGGTGGTGGTAGCTGGGCACCATCTAGTTGTGCTGGACTCAGTCTGATGGAGGCTGTGGTAGTTGTGGTCCATTAGTCCCTTGGACTAATCGTTCCATTGTGTCTTTGGTTTTTTTCATTCTCCCTTGCTCCAGATGGGGTAGGACCAGTGGAGTATCTTAGATGGTTGCTCACAAGCTTTTAAGACCCCAGACACTACTCATCAAGGTAGAATGTAGAACATTTTCTTTATAAACTATGTTATGCCAATTGAACTGACTGACCTGTTTTGGGGATATTTACATTGTTCCCAGTTTTATACAATTTAAAACAGTGATGCTATGAACATCTTTGAAAATAAATCCTTGCATGCATCATCATCCTTTAAGATAAATTTCTAGAAATGAAGTTGATGGTCTAAATGGCATTAACCTTTTTTAATGCTCATGATATGTTATGTCTAACTTTTCTCCAGAAAGATCACATCAGTTTCTATTGTTAGCAGCACTGTCTGAAAATACTTGCAGCCCTTAACCCTGGGCATCCTATTTTTATTTTTATTTTTGTTTGTCTTTGCGAATTTGCTACATAGAAAATTAGGTCACATTATGTTATTTTGAATTAATTTTATATTAATATTGACTAAGAAATACAATCAAATTAAATTTATAAAATTGATAATTTTATGGTCACTTTTACTTCTTTTATGTATTACCCATCATAATTTGCCCCCATTTTTCCACATGAGGTATTATTCATATTTTGCTTACTAATTCATGAGCACTTTAAAATACTAACTTTTCTTTTCCATATATGCTGAAAATATTTTCTCTATTTACCTGTTGTTTTGTTTTTATTACTTGTTGTTTTCATTGTTAGCTGCTGTTGAGTTGATTTTGAATCATAGTGACTCCATGGGACAGAGTAGAACTGCCCCATTGAATTTTCTTGACTGTAATCTTTATGGAAGCAGATCGCCAGACCTTTCTTCTGTGAAGCTACTGGGTAAGTCCCAGCGGCCAACCTTTCAGTTAGCAACTGAGCGATTGTTTGCGGAGTCACCGGGGCTCCTTTTTTATAACTTAGCTCATGGTATTTTATTGGAATACGTAAGTTTTAAATTTGTAGGTAGAGATATAAAATTATATTTTTGTGTTCTCAGCCTTTGGTTTCCTGCTTAGACAATCCTTCTTATATCAAGGTTATATTTTTTATCTAGTACCTCTGATCTCGCTGTAATGTATTTGGTATGTTGATGATGAGGTGAAATAAAGTCGGTACTTTTCAAGTAGTTGTTCAGCTGTCCCAACAGGAGTCAATGAACAATGCATCCTTTCACTGATTTGAAATGTCATCTTTCATGTACTAAATTTTTCCATGTAGCATTTCCTGTAATTTTTCATGTACACAAGTTAGCACTAATGAGGAGAGAAACCTTCAAAGGAAAGAACCATGAGGAGAAATGATGGTGTCCTCAGCATATAAAACCTAGATGCGGTGGGCAGTGAACTTTGGATAAAGATGGTGATGACCAGTGTTTATTGAGGGGCGCATTTGATGTCTGAGATCAGTTACTGCTTTGTAAGAGACCAGTAAACATATGGACTTTTTCTGCTAAGATTGGGAATTCTTTGTGTGTCTTGCTTAGTCGCCTCTAAGTGATTCCCAAAATTTAGTGTGAAAATATCTCCTGTGGAAGCTTGCTAAGATTTGCATTCTTTTCTAAAAAAATATTTTATTGTGTTTTAGGTGAAAGTTTATACAGTGAATTAGGTTCTCATTTAACGATTTTCATTCAAATTGTTCCG